TTATTACAATCACGTGACTTAATTTAATATTTAATTCAAATTGTAACTTTCACGCAAGCCTTCTTTTTGTGCGATTCCTTGCTAAAGAATTAGCTCACTTGAATCGTTTACGCAACATCTATCAATAAAGTCGAGAAATTTATATAGTGATTGTGATATTCATATCTTGAATTCTCAATTAATAACATTTTATGCATTTACTTTACGAATCTAACACCGTATTAATATATTGATGATAAACAAGTTGAAGCAATATTATGGAAAGAGAAGAAAATATATAGCTTACTTACAGATCTGATTATGACGAAAAGCTGCACATATTAATTTTTATAAGTAACTAAAAAAGAATTAATACTATCAAATATTAACTACCAATAAGCACTACAAAAGTGTCTAATTATCATGCACTCAAAACTTTTTTTGAATATATTTTTATCCTTTAGAATTCGACGTTAATTTTCGTTATAGGTTTTTTTACAATCCACAGACCTAATACTATATATAAATAAAAAGAACTATAGTCAAATCTGATAAGAGAAATGCTTATAACTGATAACTATAGGAATAGAATAATCAACGCCAACACGAGGTACAAGTATGAATGATTCGAATAGTTCGCTCGTACTCCCAACTTTGTTTCTAAATCTAGTTCTTTCCCTTAGAGTATGATGTTGTTTTACAAACGAGCAAACCAATGTCAAACTAATTTGTAATGTTTTCAATCGATACCTTTTTGGTTTATAATGATATATTTTGCAAACGCCATGATACGCATATTTATACATTTTTCTCTGTGTATATGCCACAATCAGAACCCAAATGATGTGGTGGTAAATGAGAGAACTTCCTGCCCCAGCACATGGTTCGATACTTATCGCATAGCCCTCGTGTGTGAGCATGATGTGCATTACATTTAGTTCGCCTCATTGCGTCGTTTGCTTTGATTCGGTCTGCTCTGATTTGGTGTGATTTGATTTTGTTTGTGCACAGACCTTCGAAACACCCTTCAAGAGTTTTCTACATATAGGCGTAGGCGTTGCCTTTTATTGTTGTTGTTTTATGTTGTTGTGCTTTCAATTTGGCGCGAGTTCAAGCGCGCGCAGCAACGTCAAGGTGGCCTTTCAGTAATGAACTGATTTCTGTGTTATTTTTGCACATCAACCATCCATTCGTCGTCGTTTTCACTTTACAGTATAAACAACGATGGCGACACTTTACGGACGGCAGTCTGTGTGAACATTTTGTTGTTGTTGTTCAAAATGGCAAACAAATGAGCACACTCCTCCACCGTTCCGTGTGGAGCGCATTTTAGCGCATGAATTTAATTAGTTTTAAGAAAATTTGTGCCTAACGCTTGAATGGCAAAAATTCGCGACCCTCATTACGAACACTTCATGGACTTTTCGGAGAAGAAGAATAGACTGCTACAAGCCTTTCATAATTAAAGGGAACCGTAATGGGCGTTGTTTTAAGGTCAGTGTAGGGTCCTGTGTTGATGACATAAAGATGAAAAATCACAATAAAAATTCCCTTCACCAGTTGTTTACGTTTAAGCGGCTGTCTTTGTAACTGCCTCTCAGATTTTTGGATATTCATTTGCGTGCATTTATCATTTTTATTCGTTCACATTTTGCACGACTTTTGAATTAAATTTAATGCACTTGGCACTTTTAATTGCACTTTTCACGACAAACAGGCCATAAATTCGTGTAGTTAAAGCCATAAATATGATTTTACAGCAAACTTTTTATTGGCAACGTTGTGTAATGCCATTGCCAGCAGACCAACAGGCCAGCAGCCCAGCAGCTCAGCATTCCCCATGAGTTTTGTTTGGTTTTGTGGCAATTTTCATGCCCATTTTCCATGCCCGCATGCATCTGAGGCTGCAGTCGGTTGCGGTTTATTTTACATTTTCACATGTTCAGCCTAAGGTTTGGGGTGCGACACAAAACCAACGAAACATGCCATGTCTCGTCATGGTGCATACACCCACTTCGCTTAGCGAACAAACAACAATTTCTGACACATAATTAAGTTTTTATGTTCAAACGCGTTTGTGCTCAACGCATTGCAGAGTAAAAAGCGCAGAAAATGGCGGAAAACGTAAAAATGGCGGGGCGTTTGTGATGAAAAAAGTGTTAGCTTGAATATCTGTCAAAACTATCAGCATTTAATTTCATATCCATCAACTGTTGTGGGACGTCTTGCATAGAGATAGTAAGAAATGCATTTTTAATAAAAAGTGTTGTCTGCTATTTTCTGCAGAACTTCTGACACTCTTCAGCTTCAACATGACCTTGAGAGTCTTTCATGAAATTATTTTGTTTTTCCGATTTCAGAATTAAAAAAAACATAAACAATAGCTAACTTTTTTGAACTCAGATTAAAAAGTGTGAAATTATTCAATGTAATATGAATTATTTAAATTTTAAAGCTTACAATTCGTAGAGTTGATTCTAATGGTATTTATCTGAAATTATTTGTATTATCTTGGAAGTAAAAATTTGTGTTTATCAGTTCAGCTTAAAAATCGTTCGGCCCAACTAAAAATGTTCTTCTTGATTCATTATTTTAGCTTCAGAACGCCTCTCGTTGGGCTTATCTGCTTCTAACTGGCATTGAATTTTTTTCTATCCAACTCTCATGGTTTAAAAACTCTATATTGACCCCAAATTTTACAAAACATTATGATTTCCGGAACGGCACAGCTCAATTATAAAAATACCTCGATCGAGCTGAATAATGAATTTAGGGCTTATGTAAATAAACTATACAATCGGAAAGCTGCATCTGACTGCGGTTCCTTTCACTCAACTTTCTTTCAACTTATTCCTAAAAATCGTTGGGTATAAATGCTTCTAAGATAAGAGGATATGCTAGTCCTGTACTTCTAAACTATGAAGTTAAAAAAAAGAAAAGCATATTAATGCAAGATAAACATTTCAGATGAAAAGTGAATTTATTTTTGTCAATGTCGACATGGAGTCCATTCTATTATTTTCAGAAATGCCATTTATTCATGGCACACCTACATCTTAAATCTTTAGATAAAATCCTGACATTTACCAAAGAGCTGAACAACTCAACCTCAATCCCTCTTTGCCATTTTGCCATGCCAGCAGTTATTGTTTTTGGCTCACAATGCAGCGAGTGCAACAAAAATCACTGGCAATATCGCACGTGCTATGCATGCCAGTCGCCAAACGCGCTGAAAATGTTTCGTAAAATGCTGTGATTTTTGCTATTCTTGGCAGAATTTTAGGCGCATTGCAAACCGCCCTTTTAGTGGTCACTGAAATTTCCATAAACATTTCTGGCGTTTCATTCCTGCGGTACCTCTGACGTTGCCCTCGAAATCAATAAAGCCACAGCAATGCAAATATATGGTATCAGCGATAGCTTTGGGCGCTACGAATGTGTGGTCCGGTAGGTGTGATTAACGGGCCAACTAACCAAGCAACTATGCTATGTGTGTGCAGATACATAAGCATCTTAGTTGGCGCCGCACCGAACACGTTAATAATAATGACAAATGGCAATCGGTAATGGGTGTGAAAATAGCGCGAACGGCGGCGCATAGCATGAGACAATATTCGATATTGGTTTGTGTGAATTTTTCAGTCCAAGGCAGGCTTAAGAGAACAAGAAAGCTAGCCATACACCGAAAGAAAATCCAAAAATTGGTTTAAGATGGTTGGCAGTAAGTATATAAAATGGACCTTTAGATTATGTTTATTAAAGTGTTTCTTGCTTGCTATTCAATATGTGTTATTTCCCTCAACTAAAGATGATAGCAAGTTCTCAAGATTCTATTTCTTGTATTTGTAGCTTTTTCTACAGAGTCCTAGTCTGTCAGTCAGGCAGGCAAACAGAGTTGTTCTAATACAATATTTTTCTTATTTGGTTAAAAGCAAATTAACTTACAAATGGTAACAATTATTAACCATTAAACAACAAACAACATAAAAATTTGTGTTTGTTTGTCGAACCTAATAAAACGGTTTAAAAGGATTAAAATACTGCGAATTACTGCATATACGCATTCAATCATCATTTATTTTCCTAGCAATTAAAAATTACTAGCTAGATCCTTACATATAGAGCTAATGCGATCGAAATAAGAACGTTTTTCAAATAACATATTGTACTTTGAAAGACTTAAAAGAAACTTAATCCAACCTACGATTCACATCTAACGATTTCAAAGAAATTGTAAATCTTTTTTGTGTAATTCTGTTTAGCTTCTGTATCTAAAATTTGTGTAATTCCTAGCTGAGAGAAAGCATATTGCTTGCCAAAAAAAAAAAAAAATGAAATGAAAAAAAAAAATGAAATTAGTTTTTCATTGAATTTTATTTATCAACGCATAGCATGTTTTGTGCTGCTTCTATCGAGTTCTAGGTATCTTTATTTCCTTACTTTTTTGAACAGTGCCTTCACAATTTCAGTTGAGATTATTTTTGAACCCACAAACAACAAAGAAGTAATAAAAGGAATTTATGAACGGCATACTCAGCTGAGTTACCATTTTTGTCCATTTTCCCATTTTCTCATTTTCCTCAAAATTTCGCACCCTTGAGGCTTGCGTTTTAATGTAGTTTCTAAAGCCTGACACTGTGCTAGATTTATGCGATGCATTCTTGTCGGGGGCCAAAAAATAAGTGCCTGGCCATTACGTATACGCAGCGTGCGCTAAAATTACCAAAATGACACAATCTAAACGGAAATCAAATGCGTGCACAATTGAGGCGACGAAGACGACTGTGGCGGCACAACATTGTGGGCGTGGGTGTGTGTAGACAAAAATAAAACTGCATCTATTCAATTCAATGACCTTCTTGGCCCACTCTGGTGGAAAAGTTTGTCTGCTTGAATACATATTGCCGCAATTTGCGGGACTTGGGCGCTGCTATCAGCATTCAGTGTTCAGCATTCAACATTCAACGCGAAGCCGCAGAATTTTAAATTGATGACGGCATGGTGAGTCTAAGAGTACTTACCCGCCTTGTGTTTTATTGTTCTTGTTGTTGTTGTTGCTGTTGTAAAAATGAGTTTTCCCCAGTTGGCGGCAAATGAAATTTTTATCTGAAAAATAGATAGATACAAGCGAGATGTTGAGTGAGAAACGTTGCCAGAGAAAAACGTGCGAAAATTATTGCGAAAATAAATACATGCTCTAAATGAGTCTGTGTCTGTGTTGTTGCATGTGTATTTATGTATATGTATTTATGTATGCGTGGGTGTGTGTGTGGCTATGTGCTTATTTGCAAATTTGTTTCTAGGCACGAACGCATCCGGAGTTTATCGAAATTTAGCACTCCCATCAGGATTAATTGTGACATTTATTTAACCAATCTAGATGTTTAAGTGCAAATGATATTATTTGAACGATTTTTAAAATAATTTGAGATTACGATTGGTTTTATAGTATTATGAAGTGGAGATTTCTGTACATCTATTGAACATTATTTTCATTTTAAAGAGAGCAGGTACTATTATTTCCAATTATCGGAAGTGTTTTTGGTCACCAGTTGCTTATTGCTTATCATTGTTATGGTTTTATTTGATACTAGATAAGATATCTTAATTTCTAATCGATTTATATTCGTGAGTCTATTAAATAGCCAACGCCAGAAGACTACATATTACCTGATTACTTTACAAAAATGTTAAATGAAAGTTAAACAAATATGGATTCACAGCACTATATATTTGTGGAGACTCTGTACGGCTCGTTTGTATTGCATCCATATTTCTACCAAATTCACACAGTTTTTTAATGTTGTTTACATCAGCACTAAAAAAGTTATCTGCAAATACAAGCAATATCTTTTTTATGGTGCCTCTTAATAATGACGCCGTAGTCTTTGCCTTTATTCTTCCACACCCCTCTTAAATCGACGCTTTTCGAACATATCGATTGCTTGGTACGTCGAACAACATATGTTTTCAATAAACAATATTTATTGCGATATGGAAAATAATATACAAGTATGCGCATAAACAAATACAACATGTATACATAGCAATAATGTTCATTCCTACTTGTATATACATACATATATTGTCGAAAACTTAAGTTTTGTTTACGCTTGTGGAGAAAATGTTACGTATATGCCATGTTGACACTAGTGGCACAGGTTGGCATGGAAAAAGCCACAAATATGTACAAATGATTGAGAATTATGATAAAGAACATGAAATGTGTATAAATAGGTTCATGGAGAATTGTTGTAAATAATTAAAAACACAAAAATACATTGGCGACACGACACTCACGCATTTCACATGAGTAAGCGTTTATTTTTGTATGTCTTGGTAGCGTTTTCGAATTTTGCTAAATTATAAATAAAATGCTCGGCGAACAGAGACAGACGCCGAACTGCAGCAGCCGCAATTGCCGGCTATTTCGGTTGCCCCAAATAGCTAGAGACTGAGCGACAGAGAGAAGGGAGAGAGAAGGATTGGAGTAGAGCAAGTCGGAGAGCGCAGAGTAGAGGATGGGGAATGTTGCAAACGGGCTGCGTATTTAATGTGTGCGCGCGCTCATTGAAAACAAAATCTAAATTTAGGCATTTGGGAAAACCACCTGATAAATGGAAATGGAAATGAAAATGTTCGCCACCAAAGCCAAAGCCACGCAGCACTTTTCATTTTGTTTGTTTTCAAGAGTTTTCGAGACTCGTACACAGTTCGCATATTTGGCAGCACAGCTGACGTGGCCATGCGGGTGAGTGCTATGCACAAAAATAAGTATACATATGGATATGTGCATGTGTGTATGCATATGAACAAGTATACACGTATACTTTTGAATAAATGTCTGTATATATACAAGCACTAATTAATGTTTGCTGTTGCATCTAGTCGATCCAAAAAAGAACGCCGGAGCCGCCGTTTCACTTGCCACACACCTGCCTGCGGCGTTGAACTTTGTTGATTTAATGCGGGCATTTCCATTCAGACGGTTTTCAAAATACACACACACACACATGTATCTACACACATCGAAGTGTTGTTTTCCTGTTTACTTTCCATTGTCAAATCAACTGAAGCATGCACTCCTTCAATAATAAATAAGCCGGTTCACATATTTGTTGCGAGCAAACAATAACCAGCCAAGCGTTTGAAATTGGAAATCAAATTGTTATAAATTATTTAGACTTTTTTATACCCTGCACCCATAAGCTAAAAGGGTGTACTAGCTTACTGCGAATGTATGTAGCACATAGAAGGCGCCATATCAAAATAGTATAATATTAAAACTTATTATGTATTTATATTGGCCTATTGTTGTAGGCCTATTAGATAAATAAGTTTAAGTGATACTTTAATGACATATAATTGTCGAATTTGAGTATTAAAGAAGCATAATATAATATTTATTATTATTGCAACGTACAGCTCAAGGCTATATAGGATTTCCACAGTCCTCTTTGATCATTTCGAATTCTAATAATTTATTTTATTACACGATTCTGAAGTCTAATTTCAAGAAAATTAGTAAAGCTTTTAGAATTTAAAAATGAAATCATCATTAATTTAAATAGTTTAGAGCACTAGGCAGCTTAAACTGAAAACAGAATTAATTGAATGCCCAATCAAAAAACATTCCTATTTTAGTTATCAATAAAAAAAATCGAAACAACTAAATATTAATAAATTTAAAATTGAATAATTGTGTTTATTAATAATTTATTGCCAGCATGGATACACTATATAGCAAGTATTTTACACTTAATTCCAATATTAGGCACTTTTCTATTTTAAATTAGAAGAAATTTGTTATTAGGATTTGTTCCTCTACATCATCCTTTCATTCAATGTCTTTCCATATATGGTCCGTCTCGTTGTACCACCCAAGTCAATAAATATTTATATATATTATACTATATAAGTAAAATCGCATTTCTCCACAATTAACACACTATTTATCACATCATGAAATTGTTCCTGCTTGCACACCCATTATATGTTGATGCGAGTATGCTCATAGAAAGCTTCATATAAATAACTTTTTATGGTAGCGTTAAAAAAGAACAATAATACCAGTGCTATTTTGTTTACAAACACAAATCGCTTGTTATTTGCAACTTTTTTTTAATCTTTATTTATAACAATTTATATTTACATAAAATGCTTGCACAATTTTAATTTTAAGCTCTGCCCACAAAGGGAATGCAAATCAGCACACTCATGCGTATATATGTATGCATGTATGTGTGTATGTGAGATTACTGTAATAAAACTGCAAATACAGTCGAATCTAAAGCCGCCTGAACAAGCAGAACTAGCCGAGACAGAGACAGAGATAGAAACAGCATCAGAAGCAGCAGCATGCGAGCAACAACAATAACAAATACGACAGCAAAGACAACAAAGCTTTGCATACAAATGTCAAGCTGCTGTCGCCGTTGTCCCTCTCTCCCTTCCCTCCACCATCCTCTCACCAGTAACGCCGCTAAAACAATAGAGAGGCGGACGACGACAAGCTGTTACTTGCCGCCTGCAGACAGCGAGCGAACGAATGCATGAATGCATTCATGCAGAGTACGGAGCACTCACACACACCTACACATTCGGGTATGGTCGTTTACGTACGTATGTTCTACGTAATTGTTTTCGCCTTTTGAATTCCTGCAATGGCTACGGGCTAAGCCTTTGACAGTCGCCGCCTGCCTTCCTGCTCCTCGCCCTCCCTTTGCACAATGGTATCAGAGTTGATTTTTCTTATTGCGCAGAAAATTTGCATGCCAATCAATGCGAGAGTGAGATTTTGTGTAACAAGATAGTTCAGCAATTGATTGTCCAGTTTGTTTTTAAGCGTGCATTTTTTTTTCGCAAAATATGTTTGAAATTAGTTCTTGAATTGTTAAAAAGCTTTAAGGATGACACAAAACCGGTGATCTGTTCGAGATATTTTGTATACTATATGCTTTCTAATAAGTTTTCGATTGCCCACGAATGATTAGAATTATACAATTCAAGTTGATCAAATTAAGCAATGAATATAAAAAGAATTTTATAAAAATTTAATCGATGATGCACTCAGAAGAAGACAAATAGTACTTTGCGCAAATCGCCATTAGAACAGCATTATAGCTAATGTGGGTTTGATTCACGTAAAATGTTCCTTATATAGTAAAGAACTTTTATACATTTTTGCTTCTATTATTAGTTATGTTAGTTGATTTTTATGTTTAATTTTCTCGTACAAAAATGCATACAAAGAAAAAACTTTCAGATTCAATTTTATTTAAAGAGACTGAAAACTTTTTACAGTCGCAATTACAATTTCTAAGCAATGAGATATAAATGCATTACAATTTTTTTTTTTTTTTGTGGTACCTGAAAATATTGGATTTTAAAGTTATACTTCTATAATAATAGATATACAGAAATAAAATTAACTGTGGCGGATCTTCAATAAGTAAATTAAATATACCATGAAATTTTTTCTTTTATTTGCATAAGTTTCTAAACGGAATATGCTAACGAAAAGTCCACTTAACAACCATAGTGCAACGTTTTCATAGAGAGATAATCTTCTGAAATTGCAGGCTGTCATGTTCAGCCATTATATGCCACATTGGAGCGTATCAACCAACACACACAGACACTCACACACATTTTCGCATTCTATTTGCTGCCTGTTGGCTGTCAAGCGCGTTTTTGCAATTGCAATAAGTGCTGCCTACTTTCAGGCGATGGCAATTATGCGGCTTGCGTTACGCAAATTATTCCTTGCGTGCGCTGCTCACATAAGTTGGCAATAGTTACAGTTTCTGTGGGAGTGCATATAACGTGGCTCGCAGTACAACATTTATGACAAATTGCCCAGTATGTGGTGGGCGTGTGTACGAGTACTTATATACTATACTATAGTATAAACACAGTTTTGAGCACAGTTGCGGGCAATTCAATTAAACTTTTTACAATTTATATTCACCCTCACACACACACACACACACACACACACACCTGAACATACTTATATGGTAATATGCAAGGCAACTGGACCAACAAATCAACCAGCCAGCCAGCCAGCCAGCCAGCCAGCCAGCCAGCCAACCATCCGAATGGCA